TCCTCTCTAAGCCATATTGCTTCGATAAGTTTATTGTATCATACAGAAGACTTAGATCGTTTAAGTGCAGATCCCCAGAATCAGTCAACAAATCTATCAAGTCCATCACATTGGTAGCCCTTTCCAACGCAAAGTTGTCTTTTAAGAGATCTCTGTACGAGACTTTGAGCATACTGAGCAATCCCCGCTTGTCATACCAATCCGAAAAAAATGCCAAAAGCCTTTTGAAAATTTGATCAGTGATTTCTATAGAATTAACAAAATAAAGATGTCTCATTATTAATTTAGCTGGTTACAAGATACCCTGTATTTACAGTAAATTGAAGGTTATAAACATTATTTGGAAATTAAATTAAAATATTAAAAAGATCAAAAACAAATAAACATCTACATGTTTATCAAAGTCATTTTAATTTATTGTCATTATAATATTCATATCAGCATCAACATTCTATACAAATTTATATATTTTTTATTAAAAGAATTTTTTTAGTACAATATGAAATTACAAAAATAATATTAGTAATAATTATTATAAATAAGATTATTTTGATTATTTCATTATACTTATTCAAATACTTTTCAATCAAAATTCCCTGACTTAAAAGACAAAATTTTGTATAGAATATTGAAATGATAGGAAATTAATGTATTTTTGTTTTGGTTTAAAGTATTCTTGATCTGTTCAGTGTTACCAGAAATGTTTTTTCAGTTTTTTTTCAAATACAAAATTTTTTCAATGACCTGTCTCCGATATTGTGTGAGAGCATGTTGATATATTTCTTCATTAGTTTACCTTCCATTCTATCTTTACTATTGTTAACCTTTCTATCTCATTGACCTTCTGTTCTGTCACCATTACATTTCTGGAAAAAAATATTTTTGTTATATTAACTACAACTTCAGAGGTTCTGGACTGGGCTACTAGTTTATATCTTTTTTCTATTTGCACAACCCGTGGGAGTTGGAAGTACAAAGAAGGGGNNNGTCCCTGTCTCTTATACACATCTTGATGTGTATAAGAGACAGAGACAATCCAAGACATAGGTATATAACAACTAATACTTATAAGTCTTACAAAAAAACATGTAATTTATTCAAAATCCATTAGTTAATACTTATAAGTCTTACAAAAAAACATGTAATTTATTCAAAATCCATTAGTATTGGGAGCATGAGGTGCAGTGTGTAAGGTGTTGGACTTCTGATCATGAGATTGGGAGTTTGAGATTGACGCTTGTCGCATTGCTTATGCCCTTGGGTAAGACACTTTACTTACGCTTGCCTCTCTTCACCCAGGAGTATAAATGGGGGGGGGGGATCATGTCGTTAACCTGCTCATTGGTGAACCTGCTACGAAGGTTTCAGTCAATTAATAACCGCAACTAGAATCGATTATACGCGATTATTAGCTAAAGGCCACTACATTAAAACCAACGTGTAGCTCCTGTGATTCATACGAATCAACGAATGAATGAATGAAATGTATAACCACGTTATAAACAACAACATGATGAACACATACTTACCATCTTTGATGACAGCTGGATATCCAAAGATCACTTAGAGCCCCAGCCCCCCCTAGTGAGGTCACAAAGATCCATTAAAAGTCAGGGACAAAGCTGCTAGATATGAAGTACTGATACTTGATGGATTTGGGGTGGGGGTGGTTTTCGCTCAAAAGTAATGTTTTTTCCCTGGTAACGACCCAGACTAGCAAATGTTATTTATGAACTTATTAATTCGCAAGAAATATATTGAAAGGTAAGTCAAATATATCCTTATTAAACATAATAATACAAATTTGTACATTTAGTACAGTAGTAGTAACTAGCATAGTAGTAAAAATATATTATAATATACTGTAATTCATTATAACAAATATATTAACAAGTTTTAATAACAAGATCAAATTCAACTCACCCATCAAATGATACATCAATCCCAAAGTTCAGTATCGCACCAGAGACAACTCAAGTCACATTTTACCAATGGCTGATTCCCCATATCTGCTTATAATGCCTGCAAAAACAAATCAAAACTTCCTAAAGTTAGGCTGTATGAGAACAATGCTATTAAACGACGTCCAAAATTAAAACTGAAATCATACATGCAAAACATTTGAGTTATATAAATCAAGAGAACAAAGTAAGCACAGGCTATGTGTTTCATCACAGATTTTTAGGATTTTAGCGCATTTTACTACTAACTCAAGAAGTCAATAGTTCTACCTGTAATTTGAATATTTCAAAATACAGCTGCAAAATATTAATGAGACATGGAGAGTTTTATATTGTATTGTATGTTAGACCACGGAGGTATTATTGAGAAGGAGATCACTCGTCAACAGATCCCTTTGACGCGACAATCCCATGTGTTCCCCGCCTTTGGATCGCGCGCGGGCGTATTACCCTATAATTCACATTTTTTCGTTAGCAACAACTTGGCAACAACATGCGTTTTATACGCTCCAGCACAGCAGTTGTGCGATGAAGCGTCTGATTTTAACCCATAAATATCTATATAATAAACAATGTTCTCCTGATTGAATTTTTTCGGACTTTTAGTAAGTTATTATGTGTATATTTCAGAAACAGATTCCGCAAAATATTTCTGTTAAAATTACTTCTGTGTTCATTATAATTTTGTCTAAAGATCGATTTGTTTGACTTTAAAGCTAAGGCAGCGTAAAACTGAAAATTACTCTGATTCTGGATTGAATTTTTGAATAGTTAACCCTTGTTAACCCTAAAATGACTTAGTTTATTATAATCCTCCATCATTCCTTAATTAATATCTGTTAAAATTGGAATTATCGAGTTTTATTCAATTTATGGACATTCAAGTTGCAATATACTTACTGTTAAAGCTGATGTAAATGTTTCATTAAATTCGAAACTCTTTTTTTTAGAAAATATAATTATTGTTTGGTATTTCTTGAACGACCAATGTATTAGCTTCAAGATGGAAATGAATGCGCAGCCATAGTGATTGACTGTAAGTGAGAAAAGAACGTGCTCTCCATTTCGCCTTGTTCAATCTTTGGTAAGGTACCGTATTATTGAGAAGGAGATCACTCGAAAAAGCTACGTGCACACAGAGCTATGCAAATGAACCAAGAAAAAAGCTGTCGCAGCGCGTGAAGAACGTTTGCGCGATGCTTTTAAAGTCCCATGTGTTCCCCGCCATCAAATTTTCAGCAGGCAGTTTACCAAAAAATTGAACATGGCGAAATGTAGAGCACCTTCTTTTTTCGATGCGCACTACATACAGTCAATCACTATGGCTGCGCAATCGTTTCCATTTTGAAGCTGATACATTAATCCCTCATAAAATATCAAACATATTAATATTTTCCACCAAAAAAAGTTTCGAATTTAATAGAACATTTACATGACCTTTAAAAGTATAGTATATTTCAACTTCAATTTCCATAAATTGGCAAAAATTCGCTAATTCTAATTTTAACAGATATTAATTAATAAATGATTGAGGATTTAATAGACTAAGTCATTTTAGGGAAAAAGATACCAAAAGTCCGAAAAAAAAACCTAATCAGGGGAACACTGTTCATTATTATAAAGATATTTAATGGGTTAAAAATCAAACGATTTTTGCACAACTGCTCTGCTGGAAGCGTATAAATGCATGTCGTTGTCAAGTTGTTGCTAACGAAAAAATGTGAGTTATAGGGTAATACGCCCGCGCGCGATGTCAAAGCGGGAAACAAATGGGTTTGTCGCGTCAAAGGGAACTGTTGCCGAGTGTGATCTCCTTCTCAATAATACCTCCATGGTTAGACCTAGGCGTCACCGGTTAGGCTAGCCTAAGCATAGGCGTAGATCCCGGGGGGATGGGGGGATATATTCCCCAATATTTGACAAGGGCGGGGGGGGGGATGGTCCATTGTATCATCCCCCCCCCCATATTTTGACTATGTATGGGATAAAATGGGGCTTTACACACTTCAAAAGACTGTCACAGAAATAATTTGCACTGTCTTATGCGCTTACAAAGATGAAAATTAGCATAATGTTAACAAACTATATGAAAAAACATAATGTCTAGCTTCCGTACGTGCTGCACGCGTAAAAATGCGCGCGTGTAGTGGAAAATTTCAAAAAATTTCGAAATGCTCTAAACTGCCTGAAACGTGCTCTTATTTAGTCAAAAAGTGATTTTAAGCATTTTAAAATTTTGACGCACGCGTGCTCGCGCGTAATGAAGCGCACGCGTAAAATTATGGTACAGCACATTCAACATTAACCCGAAGTTAATGCTCACTTAATACGATTTCGAAATGGCAATTGGTTAGGCTGATATGATCGATAATGTAAAAACACAAAATTGCGCGTAGATGACGTCACGCATGACTGAGCGCGTTGAAAAGCTGACAATGACAATTCCAGACCAAGCCAAATGTTCGTTGACAGCGATTGTGCGTAACTCGTGGTATTTTTTGAGATATCGTGCGAACAGAAAAGGGGAGAAAGAAAGAAGAATAAAAAGGAAAAAAAAATCCTGACAATAACAAGAGGTGATCCGCTCGAGAAGCGGATCACCAAAAAGTTGATCCAGTACAATAACAAGAGGTGATCCGCTAACGTTAGCGGATCACCAAAAAAGTTGTAAGATCTCTGACAATAACAAGAGGTGATCCGCTCGAGAAGCGGATCACCAAAAAAAGATGATGATGATCCTGACAATAACAAGAGGTGATCCGCTAGTGTAGCGGATCACCATAAAAGATGATTCAGTACAATAACAATAGGAGATCCGCTAGTGTAGCGGATCACCAATAGGCATTTTTCGTTTTGACTACGCGGCCAATCTACTACGCACTAATGGGGCGTGACGGCAACGCCAAGATACTGTTCGCGTACTCCTCCAAAAGTTGTTTTCGTTTTTAGGTGGCGCCTACGGCACGACGACACCAGAGCAGACGTACGTACGACCATGGCTAACCTAGAACTGTTGATAATCTTGCCTCATGCTACTCATTGGATGTAATCGACGATTTAGAATTCATGTTGCTGTCTGAAATTAACAGACCGACAAACGCAGACCTTGAATGATGGAAGTACGACAAGTTTAAGCTGGAAACATTAAATAACGATGAATGTAATGCTTACTTCAGGTAGGTAGGCCTAGGCCCTAGTATAGTACAGACTAGACGCAGACCCCCGCCCATATAGAATAGGCCTTAGGCCTAGGTATTTAAAGTACATTTATTCCTAGCTACGTACTGCATCAAGCTTGCTCACAGCTAGGGACTTTGTTCTTTGACTAGGCATAGCCTAGAGGTCTACTCTAATTAGGTCCCAAAATATTGTATTTTTATAGCATAAGCCCTATCCTAGTTAGTTAGCCTAGGCCCTAGTTGTAATTTGCAATGTTATCTGTATCCTGGGGGTGGGCGCCTGCCCGGTTGTAGGTGGCCACCATTACTTGTACAAGATACAAGTCAACTTTATTGTCAAAATAATACATTCTGAGATATTTGTTGTACATGACATAGAATCGTTCATAAACATATAGAGTGTTAAATAAAGATTTCTTAGAAAATAAAAATGTTTGATTAAATAGATTACAAGCGATGTACAATGCTGAATTTTTAAAACGGTTTGAGGATATTTTGTTTTGTTTATGTCTAACCCTTCCCGATCTATTTATGATAATGTCTGAAAATAATGAATGGGATGAATCTTGCATAATTGAATTAAATTTCTTAAGTAAAGAATCATTAAGAATATCTTCCAAGGACTTAACGTCGGCTCCAATCACTCGATGGGACCCTTTCTAGGTGACCACTTTTGGGGTATGTAAATGGTGAAAGTCATACGTTTCCCAAGAATATAAATCATGAAAATTTTAATGATGTTAGTTTTCAACTTGCTCAGTCATTGCATTTGTTTTTAATTTTTAAGTTCAAAGTACAGCCTTTTTTATTTTTATTTCAGGTTCTTCAAAGAGGATATTCACCATTTGAAAGATGTGTTTCACATTCCAGATCAAGTTAAATGTAAAAACAACTCGAAAATTGAAGGAATTGAAGCACTCTGTAAAATGTTGCAACGATATGCATATCCTTGCCGATAAGTTGACATGATTAAAACTTTTGCTAGGCCCGTACCCCAGCTTTGTTTAATAACTGGTCAGATGACAAACCACATATACAATATGTTTGGTAGACTTCTAACAGACCTTGATCAACCATGGCTTTTACCAGTCAATCTTGAAAAGTATGCCCAAGCAGTGTTTGAAAAGGAAGCTCCCCTTAAAAATTGCAGGGGCTTCATTGATGGAACCGTTAGGGCAGTGTGCAGGCCTCAAGAAAATCAACAGGTTCTGTTTAATGGTCATAAAAGGCTACATTCTATAAAGTTTCAGTCTCTGGTGGCAGCAAACGGCATGATTGCCAACATGTACGGTCCTATTGAAGGGAGACGGCATGACAGTTTTATGCTGCGTGAGTCAGGCTTACTGGATCAATTGGAGCAAATGTCTGTTAATACAAACAATGAAATCATGTGTATTTACGGGGACCCAGCATATCCTATAAGACCTCAACTTCAAGCACCATTTAAAGGCAACCTATCACCAATAGAACAGGACTACAATAAGGCAATGAGTGAAGTGCGTGTTTCTGTGGAATGGTTATTTGGGGACATATTAAATTACTTTAAATTCACTGATTTTAAAAAATCACAAAAAGTTGGAATGAGTGCTGTGGGGAAAATGTATCTTGTTTCTGCTTTACTGCAAAATGCACACACATGCCTATACAGAAACACAACATGTAATTACTTTGAACTCTGTCCTCCCAAGTCATATGATTATTTTCAGTAAATTTTGTTTGTTGGTGTGTTGACACAATAAAAGTGGATATCAGATATAAATACAAATCTCTTTTTATTCAATACTGTTCTTCCGTACTATTCCAGGTTTGAATATCAAAACCAAAGTAAAATACGTTATAAAAACCAGCTGTGAAAAATTCACAACAGAATAGCCTACATTATTTACATTTTAAGTGAGGCCAAACAACAAAGGTTTGCATTAATGTTAACATGACTAAACATATACAACATCAAAGGTCAACATTTTTATTCATTTTTTAAAATCTTTTTTTTTAATTCTACTGTATTTATTTTTTTTACGTATTTTTTTTAATGTAGACATGTCCAAGCAGTCGAAAACATAATACTGTACTGTACTTGCAAGACCAACAGCCTGTTCAACTCAAGAGCCAGATA